CTCAACAAAAGCGTTTGTAACTGCACCTGTCCAATGTTTACAGACTGCCTTTTGCTAACAGAATAATCCCAAATTTCTATAGTCATCCTTTTAACCAATGTCAAGCTCATAGCTCTTCCGTAATTTCTGCTCCTGGGCCCGTATACATCCAGATCTGTGTAGTCCGGGATGCAGTGTTTATTTCTGGATCTTCTGGCTTCAGAGCTGTCCTTCCCCTGGAATGTCGCTATACATGCTAGGCTAAAGCAGTTTACTTCAGTCCTCCCAGAATTAGGACTTCACTGAATTAAGCAAAACTGTTATCTCTGAATTTTGTTCATAGCACATATCCAAACAAACTCTTGTTAACTGTTTTTTTTTCAGTTAAGACACTTTGGTTTGAAGTGATCAGAACACCAATGAAAAATATGGTTCCATAAAATGAGTACTTTGGGCTAATGTATCTGAAAAGCCCAAAAGTAGACTCAAGTTCTCAGGCACAGATGGATTCCAGGGTGCAGATACTCTCCAGGGTCCTGGGCTCTCTCTGCCCCTCAGCTTGGTTGTATTTCTGGATAGGCTTTTCCCTCATGGCTGCCACGTGGTCTCCAGTGAATCAAGGTGCATGGACTCAGCTTCATGTCCACTTCTCCCCTGCAACAGTTTGAACAGAGTCTTAGACTTGACTCTCATTGTTCAGATGCTCACCCCTGGGTCCATTCCCAAGGGAATGGGTGGTCAGATATTCTGACTGGCTAAGCCTAAACCATATGCCAACCTTTAGAGCCAAGGACAGAGTCAAGACCATCCAAACCACAAGAAATGAGTGGGGCAGTGGTGCCTCCAAGAAGAAAATCTGGTGCTATTACCAAGAAGGGTGACTGTGTGCTGTATCCAACTGATCCATTCTTTCTTATGATGCAGACTTCCATAGGTCCAATTCTTGTGCAGACAGTAATGTCTGGACTTACGCGGGCACATCTAGGGGCACTCTCAGGGTTCCTTCACAGGATTGCAGGCTTCCCCCTACTTCCTAGGAGAAAGGCACGGTTTCAAGCTTGGTTTCTCTTAAGGACTGTGCACCCATTTCCCCCTCTTCTTTATACTAAAAAAATATTTTCACAAATACAAGAGGTATATAAACATATCACATGTAAAATATAGACCACATTAATTTTCTGGGGTTTAAACCAAAAAAAACAGAGACATAATGAACTGAGCATCTTTATAGATATCACTTTACACAATAGTATATCTGCATTCCGCTGATGCAGAAAATTGTCAAAAACAACCAAGCCTCAGATCCTGCTATATATAAGGGATGTATAAGACATAAAATAAAGGCACAGTTTGTTTCTAGACACACATCCTTCTACCAAGAACTCCCACCAGGTCATTCTAACCACCCCCTTATGCAGCATCCTCAGTACTGGCTTAGGTGACATTTCTGGACCCTTGCTTTTGCTTTCTAGTTCTTAGGGTTCTATGTGTCTCTCATCAGGTTGGCAGACCCTTGGTTGTTAATTCTGTTAGAGCATAGCCCATTAAGACATATAAATGTTGCATGATTGTTGAACAGCAGAATAGGGTTTTCCCTCCCTCTTACCTCCTACTCCACCTCTCTCCCTCCCTCCCTCCCTCCCTCCCTCCCTCCCTACATTCCTTCCTTCCTTCCTTCCTTCTTTTTTTTCCCTTTCTTTCTTTTTCTGGTTCTTCAAAGGAAGGAAACTTCTTAATGGTGATGAGTTTGTTAGGACAGAATGAAGGTGCAAGTATTTTTATTAAGATAAAAGATCTGGCTCATGCTATGAGAGAGTGTGGTCATACTAGCAAGAGAAAGGAGTCCTTGCACATGAGGAGCTCCCCTCTGCTGGCTGCCAGAGACCAGTGCTAACTTCCGTAAGGGATCGAAGGCTGTACCGCCGTCCTTCTGAGACAGACAGAGGACACTGGTGGGAGAGGGGATGTGGGAAGGAGGAGGAAGGACAAACGAGCAAGGTGAACCAGAGAGGAGACAGCAAGAGCGAGAGGGACCTGCACAGGGTGGGGAGGGGGCCTCTGCACCCTGGTGTATTTAGGCAGAGCTGAAACTAAGCTTATTTTCCTTTGGGGCTGGTTTTGCAGGACTTTACAGATGTTGCATATATTATAGAAGAGAGGGAAGGGAGGAGAAAGGGGAGTACAACTGGAAATTTAAAGTCAGGAGGAAAGACATCCATATACTCCACTTTATGCACTCATAAAGGGGCCATAAGGTAACTCAGAAAATAAAACCCACATGTGATGAAAACAATGGAAATGATCTCCAGCTTGCAAGCCAACAGATTCATTTCCTGGTCCATTCCCCCACAGCATATCTTAGGAGACCCAGAGAGATGCCAGCTCCCATCTGTGTTAATTATTTTATGATGTATTTGAGAAGGAGATTTGAGATTTCTAAGAATTAGGTCCACCACAAAAATTTTTAAACCCAGCCAGTGGGCTCTATACCTGCAGCTTTCCATCTGCTCCAGGAATGGTGCCCAGCTGCACGACATTGATCGTGGCTGCTGGGTTTTAGTTGGCACTGAACACACAAAGCAAAGGGCACAGACTTGGCCTCTCTGAGAGCTGAGGTTGTATGCATAGGGGTAGTTGTCAACCTCAGTCGCTGCCAGCTGGACGGCTGTTTTTCCCCTGGGGTTTCTCTCTCATCTACTTGATGACAATTCTTTAACAGCTGACTTTCTACTGCTCAACCCTGGTTTACAGTAGAATCACCTGCTGAGCTTTGGAAACGAGCAGGCAGTGGGGCTACATCCCCAGGTCGAACAGATCACAGCTGGAGGGGTGCAGACTGAGCATCAGCACTTTCCAGAAGCTTCCCAGGGCGCTGTAAAGAAGGACAAGGTCGAGTCCTGCTGGACTCCCTGGGAAATCCTCTGTCGGTCCCTCTGTCTCTGTCCCCTCCCCTGGCGTCCCTTCCCTTCTCCTCCTCTCCCTCTCTGCCCCTCCCCATCCTCCTTCCCTCTAATAAAACCTTCTGTGACAATGGCTTATTTCCCAGAGAATACTTCCCCTCTCCTTCTAAATACTGAAAACATGGTTTAAACTTGCATTCTCTTTCCAAATACATTTTAGGATTATAGGAGTCTTGTTTTCAATGTGTATATTCATAAAATGATATGTGGCACCATCCTGGCCATGGTGCCTGGTGGAAGAGGAAAGTTAGAAATCTACTAATGAAGCCAGAGAAACTTGGGGAAATGTTCTTCCATTTCTTCATTGGTGGGCTGGGGTGAGGTGGGGGGAGATATTTAGTCCTAGCAATATACCAAGCCAGTTCCGAATATATACTGATGACTAAGAAAATACTCTGTTTTCAAGTGGGTAAAACTTAAATATTTAATTATAACAAAGGGTTTTACAGTTTTAAATGGGAATATTTGACCTGAGTCTTAAAGATGTAGAAATTAACAGGGCAAAAGAGGGAGTGGGCCTTCTAGGTATCAGGGCAAGCCGGCAAAGGCTCAGAGGTGAGAGGCGGTGCAAGCCCTGGAAGATTCCTTCAGACAGCAGTTTCCCCGGCGTCCCGACCTCCCCTGAGGGCACTGGAGGCATTGCTCTCTGAATTAGGGTCTCACTTTGGCTGACCCGCCATCAGAATCCAGTGCACCCACGTGCGCTCATGTTCATCTGTGTTGCTGCTCTTGTCTCCTCTGGGTTTGCAGGTGTGGAGTGGGGAGCATGGGGTCTGAGGAACTGAATTCCCATCAGATTCAGAGGCTGCACAACACATACACACCCACACACACCTTCACTAGGAAAGACTTTTTGATCTCTATTCATGCAGTCCCCAAGCCTTTCTGCAGCTGGGCCTGGGAATTTGAATTTTTACCAGTCTGCCCCAAGTAATCCCACAGCAAGGCCAGGCTGGGAACCCCTGCTCTAGACCCCAGGGCTGATCTGAGAAGATGAAGTTCAGAGAATCATAACTAACACTTGTATAGTAAGAACAGAGCACGAGGCACTGCTCAAAGTGCCTTACTTAGGTTAACTCATTTAACTGTCACTACAGCCCTACAAAGTAGGCTTATAATTATTTCCATTTTAGAGATAGGGAAACAAAGTTCCAGAGTTGACGTGACTTGCCCAAGGTACACTTCCAGTTAGCAGCAGAGCTTGAAAAAAGCCACCCTTTAATCCATACCCTAGAAATCCTCTCAGAGTCAGGAGACTAGCTGGACTGACACAGAGTATCTGCTGTGCTCCAGGCATGTTCCGAGTTGGCAGCAGATTCATAAAGGTGACACACAACTAGTGGTCTGCTGGTAACTGCTTTACATCGGCTCACAGAAGCAAGGAAGCATGATTATAGAGCATTCGTCAGTTTCTGGGGTCCAGCTGTCATTGACCACAGAATTGGAAAGAAATTCTTGTCACACTGAATGGTGACAAACCAGCTCCAGTTCTCCACCAGACACAGCCCTCACTCACTGTGACTGTTCCTGTGGCCGCCTCAGCAAACGCCGTCATGAAGATGCCAGCCAGTGACTACAGAAGAACAGAAAAGGGACATCTGTTTCCTAAAACAATGGGGATGTCAAGAGGCTTTGGAGATCTAAAGTCATGATCTGGAGTGGAGTAATGACAGGGCCAAAGAATTGGTTTCCAGGACTTGGACAGCATGTCACAGAGCAGGCAGCCACCTTGGGGCATGAGGTCAAGGGTGAGAGCCCAGAGTCCTTCCTACCTTCAAATATCCCTCAATAATCGCCCCACAGGTAATTTCCCTTACCTTAAACTACACCCCCCTTTTCTCTCCCACCCCCAGTCAAATATAAGTCTACAGATTCTCTAGAGAAGATTTCCTCCTCTGTCCCTTGCAGTGGGCCACTTTCCCTTCCCATATTCTCACGCTTGCTCCAGGGCTAACTTAGAGGACCTGTAAGGCAGCCTCATGACATGTCACAGCTGCAGGTGGCTTGGGGACTCAGGTGAGGGACAAGATGCATGGTGATTCTTTGTACTCTGTATTTCAGGTACCAGCAGTGCTTCTACGGGGTCAACCTGTCCAGTCTCCGGGGTGCTGCAGTGGACGAATACTTCAGACAGCCAATAGTAGTAAGTATGCACTCATTACAGGCTTTCTCCCCATCTGTGTATCTATTGATTCATTCACTTAGGCACCTGGGAGGCCCTGTGCTGCTAGGCTCAGTGCTAAGCCATCACAGAAGAGAAGAAAGAGCTCCTTGGAGCAGTATGTTTTCAAGCCTTTCAGCTCTGATATCCCAATCAATTAAGAAAATTCTCAAAGAATGACACTGTCAAAAGCAGGAAAATTATCTGCCTTCTACTTCTCCCACTGCCCTGACTCACCCCATGGACATACTCAGCCCTCATACTTGTTCAATAATTCGTATCCTCCCATTGATTATAGTGGCCCAAGGCATAATCGAAGAGGAAGCTTTGTATAATAAATAGCTTAGAGCAGGAGCTTTGCTGTCAAACGTATTTGGATTTCAGTTGCAACCTCAGCTGGCTGTATAACCTTGGACAATTTTAAGTTTGCATTATCTTTCAATTATGAGTAGAAGGAAATCCAACCCAAACTGGCTTAATTACCGACCCTCAAAATTGCAAAACTTGTATATAGAGCTGGCTGCAGGATCCAGACAATGTCCAATCAGGAGTTCAGACAATGTCACCAGAATCTGACTTTCCTATCCTCATAGTTTATCTCCATTTCCTCTGATTTAACTCTGTTTTCTAGACAGGACCTCCCCTTCTGGTAGCAAGATGGCTACAGAAGCTCCAGCCTCAGATCCTTACAACTCTATGTCCTGAAGGAGAGCCAGCCTTTTCCTAATAACTTGGGTGAAAGGCCAGAATTAGTTTAGCTACAACTGATTGTCCTACCTTGGGTCATGTGCTCATCTGTGAAACAGTCACAGTCATCAGAAGAAAAGTAATACACCTGGGGTCACGCTGGTGTCACGTGCCATACCTGGAGCTAAGGGTGGACTAAGTTCCTATTGAAGTTCTTGGAATGTAGAAAAGAGGTAAATTCTAGATGGTCAAAAAAATGCAAAATCTCTGCTCCAGAGATGTTGTAAGGATTAAATGATACAACTTAGTAAACCAGTTAGCACTTGGTAAAACACTAACAGTGTTTGGCAAATAGTAAGCACTAAATAACTTCTAGCAAGTATTATTATGGTTATCCCCATTAAACCCATGCCTTCTAAACCTAACTCTTGTTGGCTCACAATTTCAGGAGAAAAGTTAAACTACAACCTTGCTTGAATTCAGTTATCCTGACAAAAAGATAACATCTCTTTTTTTTTTTCCCAAGGACACATTTGACATTAGGATTTTGATGGCTCGGACAGTCAAATACACAGTAAACTTCATAGATACAGAAGAGGCAGATCTCCATAGGTTTGTGCAAACTAACATTGTTCTTGTTTTTAAAATCTCTTCTCCACCTCTCCCATCCCCAGGACTTCAGTGCAGAGCATTATTGTTCACACAGGGGAGAGATTTTAGGTATGAGTGACACACCAGAATGGCACATCAATACTACTTATTGCAAAATGAAGATGATAATGAAGATAATGATGCCTTCTTCATAGGATTGTTTTAAGAGGTGAATGTGAAAAACATTAAATAGTAATAGCTGCCATTTCTAAAGCCAGTTGGTGTTCTGAGCCCTTTAATGTAATGATGCATTCGATCCTTACAACAATCCTATGCAGTGTACTATTGTTATCTCCATTTACTGATGACAGGTGTGAGGAGGTGTGGGCCAATAAATTGCATAAGGTCACAGAATTAATGAGTGTGTTGGCTAGGATTTGAATCATTCAGAAGGCTGCAGAGTCTGGACTTTTTAACTACCCACCCAGGTCAGTGCCCATAATAATGACAAGAGCTGCATCTTGTTGAGTGCTTACTACATATTTGGCACTATGCTAAGAACTGTACAGGCACTGGCTCATTTTCAAAGACAGTACCCCATAAATGTTAGTTCTTGTCCCCTTTCCCTCCACTTGATGCTCTAGAGGACTCATTCCTCAGATGGTGATATGAATCCCCTTTGGACAGCCTTTCACTGGTATTTTGCCTTAATCTCCCTAAGAAGATCACTATTTTTTGCTTGTTTGTTAAGAAATATAAGATCCAGCATGGTTAGAATTTTGCCTGAGCTAGTGCAGAACAAGGGTCAGACTTTTGAAGGTGTGGCTGGCTAATTCAAGCCAGTGTGCATGTTGAGATCACAATGGATGAAGGGTTCCGTATCAGTCAGTATGTAGGCTAGAACAGGCGGCAGCAACAGAAACCTCAGCAGCTTTAACACATGTCTTCCTCCTCCATCCTGTTCACCCCGCGGGCACCAGCCTGCATTAGGCAGCATCAGCCACCCCAGTGGGCCTGCTGTGCTGCAGCCTCTGTGAGAAACAGGGCTGGCCATTGAGGACAAAGAAGGAACATGGCAAAGTATGTACTGGCGATAAAAGTTTCTGCCTGGAAATAACATGGCCCACTTGTGTTCACATTTAATTGGTCAGAGTAAATCATGTGTCTGTGTCTGTGCCTGAGCTCAAGTGAACAGGCAAATGCCATCCTTATGTATGCTTGGAGCAAGAGAACTGGCATTTGGAAACAACTCTAACTCCCATAGGTCTAGACAAAATGGACTTTGTTGGCTTTATTTGCTGCTCTGGGCTATCTCCTGAATCCCAGGAGACTTTCTAAAAATTATGTCTATGTTGGCTTTCCAGAGATGCCACTCTCATCCATTCATCTGTGCATTGATTCAGCAAATGTTCATTGAGCTTCTGCTATGTGTCAGGTACTGTGCTGGTGCTTGCACAGGTATAAAAAGTAATTTTTCAAAGTCTACCCCTGAGGAGTTCATAGTCCATTTAGGAGAATGCAGAAAATGGGAGGAAATCATTACAATGCAATACCAATACATGTGATGGAGCAGTACAATGGAAAATTCTAGAAATACTCTGACCCTGGTAGGGTGAAAGAACTTAGGACTTCGGGGGCAACATAAATGCATATTATATACAACCTCTTCTACGGAAAATCTCTAGAGCAATTGCTAAAATTAGTCTCTTTGGAATGATGTAGCTCCAGTGATGGACCAGTAATATTATTTTTAATTGTGAAAAGCTTTGAAGTTCGCAGAGCACTCGCATCTACTTTCTTTTTCCTGCTGGACACACACAAGTACCTTGTGAGGGAAGTGGAGATTTTGTCACCCTTCAACAAATGAGGAAACTGAGGCTCACAGAATTTAAGTGACTTTCCAAGTTAGCATCTAAATTTTGTTGTATCTTATCCAATATATTTTCTATTCCCACTTACCCTGCATTTGGCAAATACCATGGCCACTTCTGCATGACTTTTGCTGTAGCCAAGTGGAAAGAAGAAATGCCTCTCTGAAAAATAAATGAACTATGACAGTGACCTGAGCTTGCAGTTCCACCTTGTGACCCACTTCCTTGTTTAGAAGCCTGACCAGCCCTTCCCTGCATAAGGGAGCAGCACAGCCCATGCTTTGACTTAAAGGATGGTTGTCACTGTATCCCGAGCCATCAGGGGCCAGCCCAGCTCCAGACAGGTCTCTGCACTTGCCTGAGTCACTTGCTCTGGGTCACCGCCGCCTAGTGGGTGTGGTCCTTGCAGAGTTTAGTCATGGAAGCATTACTCACATACTGCTAGAATCTTGCTGCCAATGCAAAGGTGCTTAAGGGAAAAAGACAATACCCTGTAATTGTTCCCACTGATCTCACAAACATATCGAGTATGTCTGACAACAACAAAAAATAATTACAAGGGTTTCTTCTTTTTCTATTTCCTTGCAGAGTAGAAATCCCCTTTGTGTTTCAGATGCTGCAGTCTGGCCTCATCCATGGCCTGGCCTTCTGGTTTGACGTGGCCTTTGTTGGATCTCTGTATGTACCACCCCTTCTCCACCTACTCTGTCCCATGTCACCCTCTACTAACTGTAATCATAATGTTAAGGTTTTTAAAAATTAATTCCAACAATAATACTTGTTTCTCTGGGTTTCAAAAAAATAAGTACTGATGTTAATGTAACTTTTAGATTTTAGGGTAAGATAAAAAAGAAAGTTTTCCATAGTGCCATATCAACTCTGGCTAAAGCACTGTAAAGTGCTTTAAGCCAATTGGATTGGGATTTGTGTGTGAGAGAGGATCTGTGCTTTATCAACCCTCTTGTTCTTTTCCAGAACAGATTCTAGGGCCCCAAACCCCTGCTTTGGCTGCCGTCACACCTCGTTATAGAGCTTCTTGTGTCTGGGTGACAACCCGAATAATACTAATTAATAATAATTCCTCCTTTTGGTTCACACCTTCAGTTTCACAGTCTAGAATCTTTAATGATCAGGCAGGCATGTGCTCCTCATGCCAATTGCAGCATTAGGTGACTTCTCTATCTGTATACTCCTTTTTTTCCTACCGGAAAGGCTTGGAAGTTGCAGGGAAAAGGGAAAGACCAACTGCAAGTTGACCGTCTTGTAAGGGCTTTAAAGTTTGCAGAGCACTCATAAGGGCTGCACCACTCCCACAACCTCCGAATCTCTGCCCCCCTCCTGGCTTCCCTACTCTCTTCCCAGGCTTTCTCTTGTGTTCTGAAAAGCAAAGAGATTTGATCTGGATCTGGGTCACATGACCAGGCACAAGGAGAGCTTACAGCACTCTCCCCTCCACTCCTGTAAGCACATCCCGGTCCCTCACTGCAGCTGCTGAGAAAGAAGTGCCTTGGGTCTGTGATAAAGCTCAGAGGCCTTGGAGGCCTCATAGGAGAGGGACTCCTGGAAGCCTTATCTGGACTGACCATCAGAGCGAGAATGAGTGTAACCCATTCCCTCGCCATGTGAGCATTTTTGCTCAAGGAATCCGTGTTTATTTCTCAGCTGTTCCCCCAGTAATATCCCAAGTAAATGAATTGGTCCCTGTGAGGGTAAGGGAGATAAGTATGAAGTGGCCTCCTTCAAGGGGGAAATCTCTTTGAAGTTTAATGTTTTTTTTAAAAAAGCTCTAAAAATTTTGCTTCTACTCCATAATATAGCTGAGTATATTTTGATGTGAAAGTGGTGTATATTACTTGGCAGTTAAATTTTGTAAAAATTTCCCCCCAAATCTTCAAATCACAATGGCCCTCTAGGAATTGACCCTATGCTTGGTGTACACCTTACACTGTACAAGCCAACAACCATGGCCTGACCCCAGGAAAGGTGACCTCGGTGTTCAGAGAACACCAAGATGTTCTCATTTCTTCACATGGAATGAAGAAGCTCAGTTTAAACACTCATGCACACACACACACACACACACACACACACACACACACAAGCAGATGTAGTATGTCTGAACTGGAGGGCCGGTAGAGGCCATCTGCTCCAGTACTTTTGCTTCTAGAAGCCCCATCAGGACCCGTGAACAGATTGGCTTGAGACAATAGGAGGCCAGACTCAGACTTCTCACCTCACCATATTTTTCAAACAAATCAGTTCCCAATTTAACTGTTACTTTTTAGGCTTTTAATGAACTTTGATTAAGAAATACAGAATGATAGATTGGCCAAGTCCATGGGTTTGAAGCCTGGCTCTCCAATTTTCCTCTGTGTGACGTTGGACAAGTACTTTAACCTCTCTGGGATTATTTATTGCAATGGGCTATTGTGTAGATTTAATGGGATAATGTATATAAAATTCTTACTAGTACAGTGCCCAGCACATGGCAGTTGCTTAAATTGAGCTATCCTTATCTTAAATGGGTTCCGTGAGTCAAAAACATTGAAAACCACCTATCAACCTAAGTCCCCAGCCCATCCATTAATATGGGCCTGGAAAGTAACTGGCTTTGAACTCTTTCTTACCCACAGGGTAACAGTTTGGCTGTCAACAGCCCCAACTGAGCCTCTGACTCACTGGTACCAGGTGCGGTGCCTCCTTCAGACTCCCCTCTTTGCCAAGGAAGGAGAAACCCTCTCGGGAAAAGTGCTGTTTGTGGCCAATAAACGGTAAGCAGGAAAGTACAGACAGGATCCCACGTCTGCCTCTTGAGCACTGACGGGTGGGCACAGGAGGAATCTGAAAGCCCCCTGAGACTCCAGCACCCAGAGGTGGATGTAGGTTTCACAAAGGCTTGGCTGAGTATGCTCAGGGGCCCTCGGCTACAAAGCCCACAGGGCAGATGACACCCCAGCACTGGGCATGATGAGGATAAGGAGCCTTACGCAGCTCAAGGGCAGTGCTCTGTGTCTGACCACAGAGGGAGGGAGGAGAGCCAGCAGCTCGTGGGAGCATTTGCCAAAGGCTTCAATTTCCAAATACTTTAAGTCCCACATCAGATTCCTGGCCTTCCTTACATCTGTGGAGCCACACACCTCTGAGTTTGGTACAGTAAAATTGATCTGTACTTTGGGGAAAAGCACTGCAGGGGTGGAGTATGGTGTATTGCACAGGCTTGGCCTCTTCCCGCTGGTGACAGATTTCATGAGGTCTCTGAGGTGATTACTTTGATTTATCTCATTTTTAAAATGTTTTTTTTTCTCTTACCTTGTTGGAGCTTCTTCTGGGTGAATTAGAGGAAAAAAGAGTAGTGGAGAGGTTCAAGGACTCTCAGGATAGTAAGGTTACTCAGAGATCATCTCGTTCAACTCTCTTTCCTCCCCACCTCCCACCCCTCTTGGGCACGTGCTTGAACATTCCAGTGACAAAGAGCTCACCACCTCACAAATCAGCCTTTCCATTTTTACAGTCTTGATTTCTTTAATTACAAAACCCTTAACATGCTCAAGACTCCCAGTGTCTAGAGTCCACCTACACTTCCACCCCTCTCCCCACTCCCCAGATATGACCCCATGGACCATATACTTTCAGGTGATTTTCTGTGCATGTAACAGCAAATAACTTCTTTGTGGGTTTTTTGTTCTTCTCATTGTTTTATAAGAAGATGACACCAGCAGTTTGCAATTTAAGTTTCCACTTAACAATGAGTCCTGAGTCTGTACAGATAGATCTACTTTATTCTTTCAGTAGATGCACAATAGCTGAGGGCATGGATATACCAAATGTCTTTTTCAAAATCCCTGATTGATAGAAAGTAATGCACAGACACCCACCTGTACTCATATCTAGCCCAGATTCCTCCATCCAAGTCTGGAGGAAATGCGATACAACCTGTGTTGAACATGATATCCAGATAAGTTCACTCTTTGGTTTCACCTTCAGGGACCAATATATTAACCCTGCCTAAAAGGGAAGAGAAGCTAATTGGACATCACTCATTATTCTTTTGTGAAACTATGATATATCTCTGGTTATCATAACTTTGTATTTTCTTAAAGGGTTATTTAGATTTTTAATAGAAAATACAGTCACACAAAGTAGTGATTCTATAACATCTTACTATGCTGATGGACAGTTGACTGTAATGGGGTTTGTGGGGGGTACTTGGGGTAGGAGAGAGCCTAGTAAACATAATGTTCTTCATGTAATTGTAGATTAATGATAACAAAATTTTAAAAATGGCACCATTAAAAAAAAAAGAAAATACGGTCACACAATTCACAATGAAAATATATGAAAAGAGGATTAAACAAGATGGCAGCATGAAAAGTGAGGCAGAAACCTTCTACCAAAACCATATATAATATAAAAGTATAGTAAATACAAATAAACCTGAAAGGGCGACTGGAAAGACTGCAACATTATGACTACATCAACCTATATTACATGGTGCTCTAGAGATTAGAGGGGTTGGAAAGCAAAGACAGGTGGAATACTCAGAGAGAGTGAGATTCTAGCTGCTTGTGGAGAACAGGCTCCCACAATTGGCCACACCAGGACAAAAGAAAGGTGGGCACTTTGAAAGACTTCCCAATAGCAAGAGGGGTACTAAAGGGGCAGAGACTATACAGAGTTTGCTGCTTAGGAGAAAGGACAGGTGGACAAAATTACCTGGGTGCACTCTGCCCATCAGATTGGGAACTTTCAGGTGCTTCATGCACTCCATTCCTCTGGATGGAAATGCAGTGCCAAAGCCCCTCACCCTGATACGCGGCCTGCCACTCCTTCCTCCAGGCTGGCACCATTATACAAACCTGCTGGCTGAGCCATCATGCCAGGCCAGCCATAGGGCAGCACTGCCTACAGCAGCTACAAGGGTGCAACATAGAGGCTCCTCCCTGCATGCTTGGCCCACTCACCCTGGCAGTGGAGGCAGGCACTGTGGCCAGGAAGCAGGAAAGAGCTCTTCCCTCCTGGCAGACACCAGTGCCACATGCCTGTGACCCCTAACATCATTCCAGTGGCTGGGCAGCTCCAGAGAGTAGAGCTTCTGGGCACTAGAGGGCACTGCCTACAGAAGTTATTATTCCATAGTAATCACTAGGAATATGAAACAGCAAAAGAACCTCATACAAACCAAAAATCTCAAACACCAGAAAGAGGGCTAAGTGAAACTGAAATCACCTATGTTCCTGAAAAGATTTCAAAATAAAAATCATAAACATGCTCATGGAGCTACAGAAAAATAGTCAAGACCGCAGGGATGACTTCAAGAAAAGATAGAAACTTTGAAAAATAGAGTATCAGAAATGAAACATACAATGGAGGGATTTAAAAGCAGATTAGAAGACGTAGAGACAACAAATAAAATAGAAATTAGAGAACAGGACTACAAAGAAGTAGAGGCACAAAGAGAAAAAAGGATCTCTAGGAATGAAAGAATATTAAGAGAACTATGTGACCAATCCAAATGAAACAATATTCACATTATAGGGGTCCCAGAAAAATAAGAGGGAGAAAGGGGATACAAAGTCTCTTTGAGGAAATAATTGCTGAGAACTTCCCCAATCTGGGGAAGGAAATAGTCTCTCAGGCAATGGAAGTGCACAGATCTCCCAACACAAGGGGCCCAAGGAGGACAATATCAAGATATATAATAATTTAAATGACAAAGATCAAGGACAAGGACAGAGTATTAAAACCAGCCAGAAGGAGAAAAAAGACCACATACAAAGGAAAACACATCAGGCTATTCAGCAGAAACCTTACAGGCCAGAAGGAAGTAGCATGATATATTTAATGCAATGAGACAGAAGGAACTCAAACCAAGAATACTCTACCTGGAAAGATTATCATTTAAATTTATAGCAGGGATTAAATAATTTCCAGAAAAACATAAATTGAGGGAATTTACCTCCTACAAACTATCTCTACAGTGTATGTTGGAGGGATTTATATAGATGGAAGCGCTCCAAAGGCTGAATAGCTGTCACCAGAGAAAACAAAACCACAGTAAAGGAAGTATTCCAATTAATTACTAAGCAAATGCAAAGTAAATCAACTACCCACAATGTCACTCAAGGGATACACAAAGAGTGTAGAATATAGCACCTAATATATAGAGTGGAGGAGGAAGAAAAATAAGGGAAGAAAAAAAGAACCTTTAGATTGTGTTTGAAATAGCATAATAAGCAAGTTCAGTTAGACTGTAAGATAGTAAAGAAGCTGCCCTTGAGTCTTTGGTAACCACTAATCTAAAGCCTGCAATGGCAATAAGAACATATCTATAAATAATCATCCTATGTAAATGGACTGAATGCACCAATCAAAAGACATAGAGTTACAGAACGGATAAAAAAACAAGACTCATCTATATGCTGCCTACAAGAGACTCACTTCAAACCCAAACACATGTACAGACTAAGAGTGAAGGGATGGAAAAAGATATTTCATGCAAATCATAGGGAGAAAAAAGCAGAAGTTGCAGTACTTCTATCAGATAAAATAAAGAAAGTAACTTCAAAACAAAGAAAGTAACAAGAGACAAGGACATTATATAATGATAGAGGGGTCAGTCCAACAAGAGGATATAACCATTATAAGTATCTATGCACCCAGTATAGGAGCACCTACATATGTGAAACAAAGACTAACAGAATTAAAGGGGGAAATAGAATGCAATGCACTCATTTTAGGAGACTTCAACTCACCAATCACCTCAAAGGACAGATCAACCACACAGAAAATAAGTAAGGTGACAGAGGCACTGAACAACACACTAGAACAGATGTACCCTAACAGACATCTACAGAACACTCCATCCAAAAGCAGCAGGATACATATTCTTCTCAAGTGCACATAGAACATTTTCCAGAATAGGTCACATACTAGCCACAAAAAAAGCCTCAGTAAATTCAGAAATTGTACCAGAATTGAAATTGTAGCAACCAACTTCTGAGACCACAAAGGTATGAAACTACAAATAAGTTATGCAAAGAAAACAAAAAAGCCCACAGACACATAGAGGCTTAATAATATGCTCCTAAATAATCAATGGGCTGATGATCAAATAAAAATAGGTATCAAGCAATATATGGAGACAAATGAAAACAACAACTCAACACTGCAAAATCTGTGGGGCACAGCCAAGGTCATGCTAAGAGGAAAGTATATTGCAATACAGGCCTACCTCAGGAAAGAAGAACAATCCCAAATGAACAGTCTAAACTCACAATTAATAAAACTAGTCAGAGAAGAACTAATGAGGCCCAAAGTCAGTAGAAGGAGGGACATAATAAAGATCAGAGCAGAAATAAATAAAATTGAGAAGAAAACAATAGAAAGAATCTGTGAAACCAGGAGGAGCTGGTTCTTCAAGAAAATAAACAAAATAGATAAACCCCTAGCCAGACTTATCAAGAAAAAAAGAGAGTGTACACATATAAAGAGACTCAGAAATGAGAAAGGAAAAATCACTATGGACACCACAGAAATACAAATACTTATTAGAGAATACTATGAAAAATTATATACTAAACAATTGGATAATCTTGAATAAATGGACAACTTTCCAGAAAAATACAACCTTCCACAACTGACCCAGGAAGAAACAGTAAATATGAACAGAACAATTACCAGCAATTAAATTGAACTGGTAATCAAAAAACTATCTGGTGAGGATACAGAGAAAGGGGAGCCCTCCTACACTGTTGATGGGAATGTAAATTAG